TTCCTACATAATTGATATAATTAGTAAAATCCTAAGTTGAAAAATTAATGGAAATCTTTTTTCTCTGCATTCCCATGAGGAATGTACTTACAACAATAATCAGGCCCAGCCAAGGTGGCATGCACTGTTAAGACACAAGCCTCTGCTAGCTGGGTCCACATGGGACCCTGCTCATTCCAGGTCCAAACCTAAAGGCCAGCTGCTTACCATGCACCTGCCAGCCCAGCCACTGGGGAGGCCGAGGCAGGAAGATGACAAGCTGAAGGCTGGCCTGGACAACACAGACAGAACCTGTCTGAAAAAAAAGTTGGACGTGGTGACACACCTGTGGTCCCAGCTGGGAGTCTGAGGCAGAAGGATCATAAGCTTGCGGCTCTCTCTATGAAAGAGCTGGGTGTAGTGACACACACCTTTATTCCCGGCTGGGAGGCTGAGGTGGAAGGATCACAACAACCAGATCCTACCACAAAATAAAATAATCAGTGACTAGGTAGAAATAGCCTCTCTGTGTATCATAATGTAATCTAGTTTACATGTGATTTGAATTTATCATAGTGTAATTTAGTTTACTTTTCCTAAATCACTGTGCTATCCCTTCACAAAGACGTGTAGGAGATTCACCAATTCCTGGAGCAGGGGCCTATGCCGATGACACTGCCGGGGCAGCTGCAGCCACTGGGGATGGTGACATAATGATGCGCTTCCTACCAAGGTATGAAATCTTGAGAAGAAGTGTTTTCTCTATCAAAATAAAAAAATACATTTTTGTACCATATAATCTGAATTTGTGACTCCAAAAGATTTTTTAGACACTATGCATACAAACTTTTTTTTTAAGGGAGATGTATAGGGTATGTGTGCTCACCAGAGAGACAGAATGTGAGAAATCACTCCCCAAGGGTGCATGGTCATACCTTATTCCCTTTTCCTCCATTCTTCTATCAGGATTTTGGGCACACATGCCCACACGCCCAGCCCAGCGTGAGTTTAAGCCACCGGGTCCAGGACTGCAACTGTGGTTAACTACACGGGAGTCCAGTGCCATAACCATTATGCCATCTGCTGGTCCCTGTATACAAACTTTTTACCTATCATTTTTATAGTGACAATCATTCCCATTAAGTGAGCATACCCTTATGAAATAAAATAGTATTTCTCACCCTACTTCACAGATGAGAATTTTTATGATTTAAATAAGTGATGTAAGGCCACAGAGCAGCAGAACTGCAATAATTGAGGATAAAAGTAAAAAGTAACATTGCTCCCAGCAGGTGACATGGTGGACTGGACACTACCATATGGCTGACCATGGTTCAAGTCCTGGAGCTGGTGGCTTGCTTTCTCATTTTCCTTCTCTCTCTGTGTCCCTCTCTGGTCAAATTAAAATAAATGAATGAATAAGTAAAATTAAACAATTCTTCCAAAAAATAAAAGTACATCCTGTGTACAATTACCACAACTACATGTTTGGCAGATGCACAGTATTTTCCCCTTTTATTATAGCCCCTTCTCATGTAAACATTTCCTCTATTTTTTCAATGACTTCTAGCTATTATTACTAGTTGGCAGTTATTCAGCCAAAGCCAAAAATAATATTCCTTATCTGAAATGAATGGGTGGATTAGTTTAAAAAGATAGCTATTGTATCAAAGTTCACTTGCTTTATTGTTAATGCTTTAACAGGAACTAACTACAACTCTTGTTTATTTTCATGTATTCTGTCAATTGTGGAACGTTTTGGTGGTTTTAAATTTCTAACTTCAAGTAAACCAAATTTGGAGGTGGTATTTGTTCTCTAATATAAATACTAAAATTTCACCTCTGTTTAAATCAGCTACCAAGCTGTAGAATACATGAGAACAGGAGAAGATCCAACCCTAGCTTGCCAAAAAGTGATTTCAAGAATTCAGAAGTATTTTCCAAAATTCTTTGGGGCTGTTATATGTGCTAATGTGACTGGAAGTTATGGTAAGTTGGACTTGGGTTTTGTACTTGTGTCAACTTACAAATGTTTATAAAACATACACCTTTAAATATTGTAGTATGTGTTAGTCAATAGTAAAGGGGAATGTATAGAGAAGACAACTCTCTGTTAAGACTCACCTCAAACCCTTCTTTGTTTGACTGCCGGTCCCTCCTTATGATCCGGTCTTTGACTGTTAGTTCTTATCTTTCTCTTTTGCACTAAATGAAGTTTAGCTTCAGCTCCTGGACACTGTCAAATGGGCTAATCTAGTCAAATGCTTTTCTAATTAAAAGTAGATAGGATAAATTATCTTGCCTACTTCTTTTCTGTTCATTATTTAAATGTCTCAACCATTTAGATCTTCTTAGGACTCCAAAGAACAAAATATATTACTAATTAGTAAACCAAAGAAGTTAGCAGAATTATTTTTGTCTTGTGTTTGAGGCATGTCTTTTGCTTCATTTACTTTCTGTATGAGCCTATCAACAGTTTCAAAGCAGTTTAAGATCAACCACTGCTGATTCTCATTAGTGTATTTTCAGATGGGGAAGATATACAGCTTACTGATCAATATGACTTATTAGGTTAGACTGCTTATTATTGTTCTTTGATCTTTTACTTCCCACAGTTCTGCATTTGAAAAACTTGTTTGAAGAATTCCTTATTCTTTTTAAAGTACTAAGATACAAAAGTCAATAAAAATTGTGGGAGGGGAAAGACTTTAATGTATAAAATAAGTCAGTTTTGTTGATTCCCTCTTAATAAATAAACCTGAAAAGACTCTAAATTGGATTTAACAGGATGAAAATATGACAATTATATCATTGTAGTGGGCTTGACCAGCTATTTATATTTGTAAAGTAAAGATAGTAGAAGGAGACATCCCCTAGGTGTTTGAGCGGAAGATGAACTTGATTAGACAGAAATATCTTGGCAAATAACTCTTTACCCTTTTTGTGACAGTGAAAGAGTAGAAAAGAATAAAGAATGATAATGGAGCAAGGAGTGTTGTGGATGAATTATGGGAGTGGTTTAGTGGCTAGGGAAATAAATCATTTTTAGAATATACCTGAATATTTTTTCTAAGGAAAGTATATAAAAAGAGTAAAATAATAGTAACAATGATAGCATGTTTATACAGCAAAATATCAGCCAGTTTTCTGAAGTTCAAAGACATGGCTTACCCACTTCCTGTTTCCTGTCATGGATCGTTAACTATTCACTACTAAAGAGGATGACGCCAGTATGTCACTTCTGAGTGGTTTAGTGGGATGTAGATATTGTGGTAGCCAATAGCCAGGCAAATAGGCAGCATCTGTATTGGTTGTAAACGTTAGCATCCTGTACTTAACCAAACAACGTTGTCTTCTTTTGGTCCCAGGTGCTGCTTGCAATAAACTTCCAACATTTACTCAGTTTAGTTTTATGGTTTATAATTCTCTGAAAAATCAGCCAACTGAGGAAAAAGTAGACTGCATCTAAGCCACTTTTTTTCTGTCAACATCTGTGTTTAAAGAAGGAAGAAACAAAGGCTGAAAAGGTTATCTGCTGTCACAGTATAGTTCCTCGTGTATTTTAAAGTCTTTCCGTAAAATAAGCACAAAAATAAATTTATGCTGAACTGGCACTTTCACTTGCTACATCTGAATTTTTTTTTAATTTTGTCTATTTAAGCTTTGTATATCTTCTGAAAATAAATATGCATATATGTATGTGTTTTGTATATATTTAAATTTTAAGTGATATTTGGATTTCTGATTGATGTTGCAAGAAATTGCTCCTTTAGGTATTTATTTTCACAGTGGTATATTAAAACCAAAACCAAAACAAAACAACAGAAAAATTATACAGTATCCAGATACTTAAAATAACTAGAGTGTAGATGTTTCTTAAACCTAAAAAGTAACTGAGTCTCAGCCTGATTAGTCCTGATTAAATTTCAGTGTGTTAGAGTGATACATCTCTCATCACTGATTATTAGCATGGCCTAAAATTCTCTAATAGCTTAAGGAAGGAAGAATGCTATTAATAATATAGACACTTTATTTTGCACATATTGGAAAATGAGTAATCTTCTAATGAGCAGTTGTGTTGATTTTCTTTGTCTTTTCTCATTGATGGAGTTCCTAATGGGCAAAGGTTCTTTCTTATGTAACAAAAATCGTATGTTTTAGCTACTAATGTTTAGCATTGATCATTTCTTTTGAAAATTATTTGGGGAACTTAATCCATAATTTTATTAATGTGTGCAATTAGAAATAGGTCAATAAATATGTTATCTATCTTGCTGTTGTTTTCCTAACTTTGGAATAAAATGTCTGACAACTGGATGGAAGTTTGTGTGTGCCTTCTCACTATCATCTTTTCCTCTAAAATCATTATCTTTTATATCAGGAATCACTAATAAAATTACTAGTATGATATTGTCTTTAAACTTCAGTATTTCTGCTCCTTTTTTTCTATGTTTGTCTTAATGTTTAATGTTACTTATAATTTATGAAAAGCTACAGTTTTGAGGGTGGTATAGGTCACTTGTTCTCAGGCCATACTTAACATATCAAAATTGTGTGGAAAGTCTCTTTAAAAATGCCTTTCTATTCTGTTCCACTAAATTGGATTCTCCACAAATGAGGACTTGAAATCTGGAATTAGCAGCTACTGATAGAAGCCTGGAAAGCACATAAGGAAACAACCCCGTGGCTTCATACTTCAGAGCAGAAGAGGAAATCTTACTTTTGAGAACTCCCATGAGGTGTACCAACTTGTTTAAATCTAATACTGGGCTGTGAAACAAGGGAGAAAAAAGCTCATTTAAACTTGCAGCATATTTGCTTTATGATGGCACTCCTGTTTTGTGTGTCTGCTCTTCATTAATAAGTTAGGTAGTCATTTACTAGAAGAGGGAGAATGAAGTTGAAAGTACTCATGGCCTGTCACTTCCCAGCAAATTAGGAGTTTAGCTGACAAAACAACCCACATAAGTTTTTAAAAGGTGTATTCTTGTTAACTCACGTTCTTCTTGATGGAAATAATTTCTCTATATACCTAAAGTAGACAGAAATGAAATTGCTTTGGAAAACATTTTGTTAAAGTTCTAAAGTTGAATATAATATTATTTAAATAATGCAAATATACTGTTCTCTCCTTTGAAAAGACAGAATTTTGTTGGTTTTGTGCTTGGTGGTGATACATAAAAGGGCACTCACTTGGAGACTAGTTTTGGTTTTTTGTTTTGTTTTTTGTCTTTTTTAGGTTTTTGCCATAGGACATGTGTGCTCCCCAGAGAGAGAGAGAGTGGGAGAGAAAGTGAGAAATCGCTCCCCAGGGGGGATGGCCATACTGCAATCCATTCTCCTTCATTCTCTTCTCTGATTTTAAGGCACACACTCACATGTGCCTGGCATGATTTTCAAGCCACCGGGTACAGGACTCAAACCATGATCAGCCATGTGAGAGCTCAGCACCTTAACTACCTTGAGATAAGTGTTTATTAAGGTTTTAGGGAAGACACAGGGAACTAGTTAAATAAGAGAATTGCAAGTCAATTATAAATTGAACTTAGAAATGGTTCACTAAAACTTTGGAAAAGCAAAAATGTAACTTAGAAAGCATCCTTAGAGCATATGGTCATGATCTAACTTTTCATGGCAAATACTACTTGATGATTTGCTTCTCCCATTTCCTGCCTGTATTGTGCATATAGTACACACTGTTGCATGGCATAGGGGAAAGGCAAGAGAATGTTTGCAGAGCTTTCTTCCCCATTCTGACTAATTTTTTTTCTTTTGACCTTATAGAAAATGATTTATTGTTAGCCTACTACTTAGGTGAAATTCCATTATGCTAAACACATATAGATTAAGCAACTTTCC